TTAAGCCATCTGGTAGACTGTGCTAGTTCTGTCTGAATCAAATGAAGGTTGGTGGAAGCTGAGTGGGAAAGAGAAGCCATGGTCTTTACAATACAAACACTAACTATTGAAGAATTGGGCTTTTCATATTTTTAATCAGTATCCTACTTTTAGTGCATGCTTTCTTTCTGGATGGTATAACTGTGACGTAGCAATGAGTTTGGTTTATTAAAGATCTGAGACATGCTTTTCCTTTATTATTATGAGATTTTTTTAAATCCATACTGTGTCATGAAGTGTGCTTTTTCTTGATTATTGTGTTTTATTTTTTAATTCATACTGTGCCAAAATTTATGCATTTTCCTATAGGTTAGCTTATAATTTAAAATTCCTTTGTAAGGAAAACTGGAGCATGCAAAGATAAAAATCAAAGCAAGCATATTTTGCCTGGTTTTTCGGGTTTCATTATGTAAGTATGGGGATTTTTATTGTAACAATTGAATGATCAAGATTATTGGCATTGTATTTCTGCATTGCATTTATTATTGCAGAGGGTTTGTTGTTTTAAAATGAGTCATGACTAAACTAGTAAATATCTTAAACAATATTATATATACATTTCCTTCCAACTCTTTTTCTTCTGTACAGTATCTGTAGCTCAGTGAACTGCTTATGGAAAAATATTGACATGAAAATTGGTCAGAACAGTCTAGTGTTTAGCCAGAAAATTATATTCACACATATTTTTCTACATACCCCTCTAAGTCTATTGTAGCTGATCTTGAATTCCAATATGTAATTATGCATATTTGTACCACATTATAAAAAATATCCAACCTTATCTCTGTTTGTTGCTGTTGGCAGAAGTGACAGTAATGTTGCAAGAGCCTCAGCCATTAACTTAGCTGTCCAAGCAGAAGTACTTCCGTTGTGCCTGGGACACCGAGCAGCTTCATAAGTATTTTCTGATGTCAGAGAAACATAAAATACATTCCTTAGAATTCAAGTTTTGCATAATTAATAATCTACAACCAGTGTATTAATCTATATATAGGAATTTATTTGGAATACCCTAATTTTCAAATGAATTTTTATTTTTATTTATTTATTTATTTATTTATTTATTTTGATTTTTCGAGACAGGGTTTCTCCGTAGCTTTTGGTTCCTGTCCTGGAACTAGCTCTTGTAGACCAGTCAAATGAATTTTTAAAAACTGAAAAACCAGAACACTTAAGGGAGTCAGCATTTCTCCATTATCAAAAACAGTTGCAAACATCTGGTTAGGTGGAAGGAGGCAAAAGGAAAGACCTAACATTTTCCTACCATCTTGTGTCAGATAGCTTCCATATATATCCATCTTGGTGGGTTTTCACACTCTGAACCCTGGGTAGTCGGGATTTGAAAGTTCACTTTATGGCAAGCAAGTCTTCTCAGGCCACCCTATCAGCTGTCATCACAGTCCTGGGAATACAGAGGCTATGTGTACTTTCTCATTTGTCATGCTGGATCCACGTGGAGGCAAGGCTGCCAAACTTAAACTTTCTCTTCCTGTGCCATGCAAAGCAGAAGAGAGTTTTGACTTATTTTGTGATATCTCTTAGATCTACACAACCCTTTCAACTCCATTTCTCTTCTCAGTGTTAGATAGTTTCTAATTTCTGAACAAGATCCTCAGTCACCGACAGCTCTTCAGACAGTACATTTACCTCATCGTTCCTTGTGCAAAGTAGCAGCTTTGTAAATACTTGTTTTGGTGCACTGGGGAGAGACTCACTGGCTGTCCCACAGCACTGCTCAGGCAAGGAAAGGGTGACAAGAAGCTGGAAATGGAGCCTCAGTTCTAGCATTGGAGACATCATCATAGGTAATAAGGAAGTCCTTATTGCCCACTCTTAACTCTTTATTGGCACTGTAATCTAACCAACTGAGCTGACTGGCTAGTTGCTCTCATTCTTTATAAAAGCATCAAATCTCAGAAGGCAGTTTTACATCTCTCCTAACTTCCTTTCAGTTGTCATTGTTGCATAGACTCATTTAAAAAACTAATTTTTGTCAAGCTACCTTGGTGATCTTCATTTGCTTGAGTGTTAAATATTTAATGTTTTAGCTTTTAAAAATACTCTACCGCTATTTCCCTTGAATTTTGGCTTTTCTTATGTCCTTTGAATAATTACTTTTGTTTTCCTTTGTATATGTAAGTCTTTTCATATGAAGGGACTCTGTCATGTAAACTTTCATTTCTTGTGGCTTGACAAATTTCAGGTCTTTCCGAGTCATGTTTGGAGTAGTTTAGTTATGTTATGTCTTCCTTCGGCTGTCTTATGGTACTTAGTAGGTAGGGTGACCTCTGGAAAAACCACCTGTGACTTGTGAATTCTTAAGGCAACTGATAAGAAAAACCATGTGGAAGTATGAAGACAAGCCTACTGTTAGACAAGCCGTTTCTAAAATGTAGATCATATAGCACTGGAGACTTACCTCATGCTCCATGGTTGAAGATCTTTAAATGTTCATTTGCATTCTATGATTTTATAACTTAATATAAAAGTTTTAAAGCTTTCACTTCAAATTTGTGCTTATCTTACCTGGCTTGGAATTGAAAACCATGCATTAATTTATAGTCATGAAGGAACACATGACCAGGAATTCACCCCACAAAAGCATGAGTGTATGGTCCATCGCTCATTTTCTCATCACTGCCCCAAGACTTACGTTGAGAACATGAGGAACAAGCACCAAAGCAAGGAAAGACTAATTTGCTTTTATTTATAAAATGTTTTTTCTTTTATTCTTCCTGTATACGTTATATCTCTCCAATCCTTCCAGGCCCTCCTTCTACCTGCCCTCTCCCCCAGATCCACTCCTCCTCTGTTTCTCATTAGAAAAAAAGAGCAGGATTCTCAGGGATGTCCATGGAACATGGCCTAACAAGTTACAGTAATGCTAGGCATAAACCTTCATACCAAGGCTGGATTAGGCAACCCAGTAAAAGGAAAAAGGTCCCAAACCCAGGCAAAAGAGTCAGAGACATTCACTCCCACTCCCAATGTCGGGAAACCCACAAGAACATCAAGCTACACAACCATAACATATATGCAGAGGACTTAGCTCAGACCCATACAGGGCCTTTTTTTTCTCTTCAGTCTCTGCGAATTCCTTTGAGTCCCACTTAGTTGATTCTATGGGCCATGTTCTCCTGGTGTCCTCCACACCTCTGACTCCTACAATCCTTCCTCCTCTTCTTCCATGAGTTCCCTGAGCTCTGCCCAATGTTTGGCTGTGAGTCTCTGCATCTGCTCCCATTTCTTGCTCAATGAAGCCTCTCTGATGATGATTGTACTAAGCACCAAACTATGAGTATAGCAAAATATCATTAGAAATCATTGCATTGACTTTTTGTTTGCTTGTTTGTTTCTCAGTCATGTTTGGTTCTATCCTGGGCTTCTGGGTTGCCCTGCTTCTGGTTCCTGGCCATCCATGACGTATTAGGTGTAGGCTTCCTCTCATGTCATGGGACTCAAGTTGGAGAAATCATTGTTTGACTACTCCCCATCTTGCAGGCAGGACAGATTGTAAGTAGAAAGTTTAGTGGTTCAGTTGATGCCCCGTCCCACTGATAGGAGCTTTGCTTGGTTATAGATGGCCAGTTCAGGCTCCTTATCACCCTAAAGTAGGAGACTTCACTAGGGTCACTCCCTTAGATTCCAGGAATTTCCACTGCACTTCTACATCATTCCCAAATGCCCGCCAGTTTCAGTCATCTCTTCCAGTACTCTCTTCCTTCATCCCTTCCACCCCACAACTAATCCTCCCTGTTTTCATCTCACCTGCCCCTAGTCCACCTGAAAAATCTATTCTAAATTTTCCCTTTCCATGGAGATCCTTGCATCCCCTGGCTTGAGCCTTCCTTGTTACATAACCTCTCTAGGTCTATGGTGTGTAGCAGGATTATCCTTTACTTAACAGCTAATGTCCACTTCTAAGTGAGTACATACCATGTTTTCTTTCTGCATCTGGGTTATCTTAACTCAGGATGATGTCAGGAACTTTTCTAGTTCCATCCATTTGCCTGCAAATTTCATAATGTAATTTTTTTTAACAGCTAAGTAATACTCCACTGTGTAAATGTACCACCTTTTCTTTATCTATTCTTCAGTTAAGGGACATCTAGGTTGTTTCCAGTTTCTGGCTATTTTGAATAAAACTGCTATAAACATAACTGAGCAGGTTTCCTTGTGGTAGGATGGGACATCCTTTGGGTATATGCCCGAGAGTGTTATAGTTGAGTCTTGAGGTAAATCCATGCCCAATTTTCTGAGGAACTACCATATGGATTTCCATAGTGGCTGTACAAGATTTCACTCCTCCTAGCTGTGGAGGACTGTTCCCCTCCTCCACATCCTCACCAGCATTAGCTGTCACTTGTATTTTTGATCTTAGCCAATCTGACAGGTGTAAGATGGAATTTTAGAGTAGTTTTGATTTGTATTTCCCTGGTGGCTATGAATGTTGAACATATCTTTAAGTGTTTCTCAGCCATTTGAGCTTCCTCTGTTAAGAATTCTCTGTTTACATCTGTACCCTACTTTCTAATTGGATTATTTGGTTTGTTGATGCCTAGTCTATAGAATGCTTAATGAAAAGTACAGTGAAATTCAAAGAGAATTGCAAATTCTTGTGGTTCACAATAGTTCGATTATTTTTATGCAGACCACAATAATTAACTATGAACTTAACTTTCTCAGCACGGTGTTGTACAATGAGTTAGCAGACCTCCTCTCATTCACTGACTGCCTCTAGTTAGTAATCATCAAGTTAAAAACATCCAGGCACTCAACAAGTCACTTATGATCAAGACATAATTTTGCTTTTATTCCTAAAAAGAAGTAATCTCTGCTCTCTGTAAAATATCACCAACCTGGGTCCCAGAAGAGTGACACATGTATTATTTTGTGTGATCGCCATGTTTGCCATATGTTAAGATATGTACCAACATTTACAGCATCCTTTTCCATTTCAGACTTTTACCATCAACAATTGAATATTTCACCAAGATTGTTGTCTGGTAAGTTAACTTTCATTGTCTCTCAATTGCGGTCCAAAATATTGAAGTCTAAAGAAATAAAATGTATTCATACCAAATTTGCCAACTTCAAACTAACAAAAAGTAAATATATGGGCTGTAGTGAGTTTACCACTACAAGAATTAAATTTGAACAGAATGTTTTTAGAAATTGGTAAAATATAGAGGAATACAAGCCCATTATCACAGTATTGGTAAACATTTTGAATTACTTTGGCAGGCATGGGTGGAAGTATTGAGATGACTTGTTTAAAAGTCTTTCCAGAGAAATTTTTTCCAGCCATGAGGTGAAGCTAGCCACTGATGTCTCCTATGGAGAATGCCACAATTTGGCATTAAAAAAATACACAGAAAATCTTTAAAAAACATTTTATCTTTCTTTAAACTTCTGCTTTGTATTTTAATATTCTGTAAGTCTGAAATGTATTTTCTTCGTTTGAATCTTAAAAGCAAACATAGCCACTCTTGGATCTATCTGTGGAAAGAAAGGGGAAAGACTCGTTGGTATACGAGTAAGCAAGTCCAACTCGAGTGATGAATGGCGCAGGTCAGAGCTCCATGTAAACATAGGCTTAAAATTTGGCTCTGTCTTTTGGTGAGACTGTAAAATTTCTAAAAGGGTAGCGTTGTGTCCTCTGCACAGTTATGGTAGTAGGTGTCTAAAGGAGAGCATGGCAGGACAAAGGGTACGGTTCCGGGTCATCAAGTCAGAGCCCTGGGAGGACTGAGTTTGCTGGAGGATGGCCACAGTGAAATGCACGGACAAAGGATTATGACCTTGCCTGGCATCCCACCCTTCTGCCTGGCTCTCTAGCCTATTTAGTCATGAACGGCATAGTCACCCAAACCTTTAAAAGTCACACTCTTGAGTTCACTTTACATGAATGGGCACAAAATGAAGAAAATTATCTCTTGGGTTGATAAGGATAGCTTTCTAGTGGGGACTTTCCATGTCCATTGCACATAATCCATAGTTGTTACTCTGTTGTTTCTAATTCTGTTGCCCCTCTATCTCTGTCCCTGAGTGTATCCAGCTTGCCCCTGAAGGCCACAGGCTTTAGGACTTTAACTTTCTCTTCCTCCCTCCTCCCTGCTTTACTTGTTTTGCTACCAAGAATAAACCTTCATCCTATCAGTGTGAGCCTAGAGGCACAAGGGACAGGCTTACTTAGAAACTTTAATTTGTTGCTCCCTTTCCATTCATCACAAATGATGTCATCACAGAAGAGCCAGAGTTTCACACTCTGGCTGACTTGCAAAAAAGTGGCTTCCTCCCCTATTGCTCTCCAACACAGAGAAAGTGTTTTCTGTTTTTGTGATCAGACACAATGTGTATTGATGATTTTGTGCCTTCAGGTGTATTTTACTTACAGGCAGGAAGATGTAAAATACAGGGCAGTGCTGTGTGTTTGCAGTTTCTCTGTTTTAGTAAAAGAAATCTCCTAGGGGAAGGAGAACATATCTTTCCACTAATTAATAAATATTTATTTTCATTTTAAAATGATACATGTTCATTAAAAATAATTTGGAAAAATACGTAAGACTAAAATGAAGAAAAATTAAAGTAATTATTTCTATAATTTAAATCCAACCATTAATAATTATTTGATATATTTTCTAACTCTCATTTTCCCCTGAAGACATATTTTTGAATATGCAGTACTCAGAATGTCTCTATAATTGTTGTTCCTTCTTTCAAAATTTAACTTAAGAATTTTGCATTTAGTTATAAAGTCTTTATAGACATTTTAAATAAATTCTATTCCTATAATCAAAATGCCCAACAAAATCATTGTATTTTAACTTTTTGCATCTCCATAATCTCTTGCATATGAATAGTGAATGAATCAGTCAGTAAATAATGAATAAATGATTGAAAGTTCAAATGAAGTATATATTTTTTAAGATTATTTTGTGAAATATTTCAAATACATGAATGTAGGCAGCTTACAATAATGAACTCCCATGCCTTCATCATCTAGTTTATTCAATGGCTTAACTCGTGGGCTAGCAGTTTCCCACTGTATTGTCTTGTTTTGAGGCAAACCTCAGATATCATGGCAGTTAACTAGTTAACTGATATTTCAGGTTCATCAGGACGTTTGTACATGTTGATGTTTAAAAAGTTTCAGATAAATAGTTCTCAACATTATATGGAATACTGTTTTTCTTATTAGTGTCTTGGCCTCATGTTTTCTAATATGTAACAATTGATTGTAAAAAATCTTTGTAGCTTGTTTTATAACATCCTCAGGCACATCTGCAAGCCAAAGAGCAGTTTGGTTGATGAGAGACAGTTCGTAGAGTTGGATAGATTTCTGGGGCAAATGTTTTTCTTGGGGAGATTTTTCTTTTTTTTTTCTTGCCTCAATTTTTAGATGAAAACCTGCATGGCAGACTTATGCAGGATTAATTATCTACATTATTGAACATATGCATGTAATGTATTATTTATCTGAAGTTAAAAAAATCATCCTCTGACTACTTAGACCTCCAATCTAACTGCTTTAAGCACATACTAGATAGAGAAAAACTACTTAAACCAAACATAATACTGTTCAAACACTTACATTTTTAAAAGCTTTTTGGGCAAGTGTAAAGCATCTAATAGTTATGTGGGATTCTTAAATCTGAAAGGGCGAGCTTTTATGTAATAGTATGAGTCCTGTTTTATATACATGTAAAACAACTATACCCATACACACAGCTCTGTGTCTGAGGGGAGAAACAACGCACTGCAGAGCGGTGCCTGTGTCAATTGCCCCTGTGCTCCTAAGAGCATCCTAGAGAAACTTCTACAAGCCAGTTTTCCAAAGATAAACCGGATCCGCCACTAATGGGCTCTACAGATGCAGAATGGTCTCTTGGGACTCGTCTTTCTGTAGAGAACCTTTTTATGAATTTCTCCTTTCTTGCTGTCTTTGAATTTTCAGCCAGAGTCTGTTTGTTAGCTGTGTGTTTTCCAACAGGTGTTTCATACTCATCAGATATTCAGGATGTATAACTAAGTAACACACTGCCTCTGTAAAACCTGAATTTATGTGTTACTCTGGTCTATTTAATCTTAGGCGCACAGTTTCCATTGGCCTCGAAAGTGAGTAGCTAGAATATTGATGTGCCTAACCCTTCGAGAAGAAATAAAAGATTTCTCCACTACACTAAATCTCTAGTCTAGAAAAATATGATGGCTTACAATATGGACACATACAAAATATTTTCAGTCTGAGCTGCTAGGAAAAGCACATGGGGAAAAAGAAAGAAAGAACACAAGCAATAAACTATGCAGTCCCACAGAACACCTGTAGACATTGTTTCTCTGCATGTAAACAATACAAATTCTTTTCCTCTTCCTTCTCTTTTTGAACATTGTTTTTACTCTACTCTGGCTTAGCATGGCCACCATTACAATATTAACTAAAGAACAAAAACGTACCTGGTTCCATGGCATTGAGGCAGGCATGACAAGGGAGGAACAAGCCATTGTTCCTACATTTTATAGCAGTTCACTTTCCCATCACTGCTTGAAGATAACATGCTAACAGCACACAATGATCATTTACTTACATCCTTTCCTTACATGAGATGCGTACTACGTGCCTAACATAAACCTGAACTATTGAAAAAGTAACCACAATTCTTTCTGGTTTGTGTATTATACCATACACCCAAGTTACGGACCTAAGCTTCACCATCATAGCAGCTGTAGTAATAATAATTATCACTAATAAAAATGATAGTATTTTCTTCCAGAAAAAGCAGGAGAAGCCATCTCAGAAGTAACTCAGGCTTCCAACAGACCAATAGGCTCATCACATACTGATAAAAGTTCTGCTCTCTAAAAACCTGGGAAGTAGCTGGTGTTTCTTCCTTCTGTGCAGCTATTTGGGTCCTGATAATCGGACACTGCTGTTGTATTTGTGATCTTGTATGTCACCCAGCTTCAAAACAACATTCTGAGAATAACATAGTAATCCGTACTTCCTACCTCATAGTCTGAATTAAGTTCAGTATTATAGTTGAATGATTCTGCTTATTTTAAGGCAGGGCCTCCATTGTCAGTACCCTGCATTATGACAGGATTTTCATTGCAAGTCTGAAGATGCTGCTAACCACAACAAAAGAAGGTGGAAGGGTTTGTTCATATTACTAAATCTATTCCATGAACCTGCCGTATTTTCTGGGAAGTCTTTATTGAAAATATATTATACAATTGTAAGCAATTGCCATGAGGACAAAACTTATGTTATTCCCTCATCAAGATAACTCCTTTGATTCTGTTTCATGTGGAAGAGAAGGGAACAATGAAGTGTCTACTAAAGGCAGATATTCAAGGAGATAATTGTATAGTCAGTTCAGTCCTTTGGAATGCTAAAGAAGAATCCTGTCTCTTCTTGACTAAGATCCCCAGTGTGAACAGGAGATGGGTTTGGAGACATCTTCCATCTGAGGACTCCTCCAAAGGGACCCTCTAGGCTCCTATGAGAACCACTGTTATGTGCTCTGCCCGCCACTGTGAAAACACTCATGATTTGTTGGGGATGTGTCATCTTGTCACTGTGAGCCCATCTCACGTATTTGTGGCATGGACATCTGTAACCTTTGAGAACTGAGCATAAAGACTCTTGTAATTAATTATTTAAAGAAGTTTTAGCTCTTAACTATTTTTCTTTCTTTGTTCACACAAAAGTTGATTGGTTAATCATGTCTTTGTTTTTGTTGTTGTTGTTGTAGTAGTCCACAATGCTCATAAAACAAAAAAGGAGAGGCTGTTTATAAAAGAAATTACAATGGCAACCTTGTACTTTCTCCAGGTTGTCTCATTTTCTCCTATTTGACTACATCAAGGCCTGCCCTCTAGAAAGTGCATTTCAGTTTTGCTAGGGAAATGATAGAGAAAAATAAATTCATATTTATAAAATATTGTCAAATACAGCATGTTAGTTGTGTTAGAATTACAAATATCACAGTTCCATCAAACCCTT